TTGCTATGTGCAGTTGTACAGAGTCATAAAGACACTGTGAACAACAGATCAAAACTTTATCCTGTGCTATTCACATTCTCCGCCATGCTGAAGTTCATTGTCACTGTGTCATTAGAGGATCTTTTCTCCTTTGCCAACCCCTGCTTTTCCAAACCTAATGCCTTTTTTTCCAAGGAATAGCAGAACCTACTGAAAACTGTCCAAAATCGTCTAGTGTCCCACATTTCTCAGAGGCGTAGGCTTTCTTTATGCTGGTGGCCCAGAGGGAAGGAGCTGTGCTACCAACCTGAAGGCATATGGTTTGAAAATACCAGTCACTCCACAGGAGAATAAGATGGGCAGTCTCCATCAGTGCAGTTTACTCCCCCTGAAAACCCACTGGAGGATCAGCTATGAGATTTAATGGTACATAAAATAATTCTCCTATTTATATCTTACAGTCTCTGAAAAGTCTCTTAAGGGTCAGCTGTGAATCAGTTCCAACTCGATGACACGTAAACAACATGTTATTGATACTGTTTGATACCTTGTTGTCTTCTTTAATTATATATTGATTTGCAACCACTTTTTTTTGGTACTTCTCTAATCAAGGTTCTTTAAAATTCTTTGGGCACGTATATACTGATTACTTTTGAGTTTTTCTCTTCTATGACTGTCATCTCATTATTCTTTTGCCTGCTGATGTCTTGGAAAGATGGAGGGTCAGCGAAGGAGAGGAAGGTCTTCAACAGATTGGACACAGTGACTATAGTAATGTCTTAAAAAAAATTTTTTTTGCTTAGTTTTTTAGTTTTTTTTTTCTTTTACTCTGATTTATTTACATCGTTTGACTATATTGGTTTTTACGTAAGAGCCTTCCCGTTTGTGTTAGATATGATGAGGACAGCACAGGATAGGACATTGTCCAGATCTGTTCACAGGGTTGAGTCAGATGACAGCACCTAACAACAGCTGTTCTTCTGATGGAAGCATTACACTTCCGTGTTTATTTACGTTTCTCATAATTTTTTGGTGGAATTATGTAGAATTTTTTGGTGGACATTTTGTATAGGGGGTCTGAATAGTGGAGCCTCTCTCCCGAAGGCTTGTTATTTGGTGGTTTATTCATTAAGTGACTGTCTGGATTATTTTAGTGAAGCCTGTTGCTCCTTCCCCGCCCTGTGTAGTGTTAAGTTTCTGATGTTGCTCAAGAGAATTGCAGCCAGGATGTGCTGACAGTCACCCTGAGAGTAAAGTATTTTTTGGCAGGATTCTTTGGCAGTCTCTTTGCTTCACCCCACCCAGCTGTTAAACCCTGCTGTTTGCTGATTGATGGCTCTGTTATTTGTAATACTACTTCAGGGAACAAAGTGCTCTACAGAGTAACCCAGTAAACCTTGGGCTTCTTTAATGGACTAGTCTTGAAGTCACTGGTGCTTTTACTTGACTCTGGAAAAAGCTCCTCTTAGGGGGTCTCTCTCTCTTTTTTTTTCCCCTTTTCTAGCAAATCCTAAAATTTAGTCAATATCTTCAATGACTACCAAGTCTCTTTACATTCTTTCATCATAACCTCAGGTTTTGTGAGCACTCTAACTCTTGAACTTTTTCTGCTTTATAGCAAATTAAATATCAGTTTCTTTTGAGTAAAGATTAGGAACTGTCTAGTTTATTACTTTTTTCCCCTCCCACCTCAAACTTCTGGAGCTGGAGGTGGGGACTGTGGCTTACTTCTTTCTTAAGGACACCACCTCTTTAAAAGGTGAGTGAGTGCTTGGTGGACGGGCCCAAGGTCATTTTACTTTGATTTTTCTGGTGTGGTACTTCCTCCTTTTGAAGGAAGAAGGGCACTCTGGACCTCAGTATCATCCATATGCTGTCCCCATGGTATATTTGTGTGTTTGTATTTGTTTAAAACCATCACTGATTAGGCATGTTCCAAATAGTAAAATTTTGTTTTTAGTAAAATAATGGCACTTCTTTTTGTAATATGAGATTACATGAAGACTAATACACCCACTGTCATGAAGTATTGTTTTAGGAATATAGTGTTTAGTCATATATACTAATTTGTGTATGTTTCAGCTTACCTTAAAGCATAACTTTTGGGGTTTTTAAAGTCTCATTTACTATCATTAGAGAATTAATGCTTAAGAATTAATTTACAAATTTGCTTAATCTCCATTTAAAATGTTTTCAGATCATCTGTTTCAGAAATGAATTATTGCCTGCTTTTTTTTTTTTTAATTTTTATTATTTTGTGTGCGTGTACCGTCAAATCAGATCTGACTGGTACAGGAGGATATTGCGCCTCCTTTTCCGGCAGAGTGTCTGGTGGATTCGAACCGTGTTCCTCTGGGATTGCAGTACAGTTTCTTGTCACTAGGCCTCCAGAGCTCCCCTTGCCTGCTTTTTTTTTTAAAGATAGTTTGACTATTAACATTACTTATACATAAAATATTGATGAAAGTTGTTCTTACTTCATAATGAGAAAGCTGTGGGCTGTGGTTATAAAGTGTAGTGATGTGTGACATGTAATGTTAATTGTTTTTAGTAGAGCGAGAATGATGCATTTTGCATGTGTTCTTAGGTCCGGAGAAAATGATGTGGAGTACAACAACATGGAATTGGAAGAGGGAGAGCTCATAGAAGATGCAGCTGCTGCTGGACCCCCAGGTACAGAGGATCAACCCCGTAGGCCACTCTGTCTTTTCTCTTTGCTCTTCGTGCCTTCTCATATATTAATGTTTGGCACCCGCTACTCTAGCCTTGATCTTCAAAAACTGTGCCACCATCTGGGTTTTATATCTCAGGCTCAGCATTTTTCTTTCATACAGAAAGTATCTTTTATCTGCCAACATGCCAGTCCTCAATAGGAGTTGGTCACCTCAAACTCAACTGATTGTCATTGCTTTGGAACCAACTCATAGCTGACCCTCCAGCAGGTTTTCAAAGGCAATAAATTGCACAAGAGGAGATTGCCCATTTTTCTCCCAAAGAGCAGTTGGTGGATTCAGACAGATTGCCTTTGGATTAGTAGAACAACTCCTTACCCACTAGACTATCAAAGCTCTCTTAGAGATTGTTAGTTTTATGTATGTTTCATTTCTTCCTGCCTGTAAGCTCTACCAAGGCCTGTGAAGGTATCCTTCTAAACAGTGCCTATTTTAATTTATTTATATCTTATCCTTTACCATTAATTTTTAGTCTAGGATACTGTTTTTTTACTACAGCCTATTTCATGGATCCTTGTATTTATTATTGTTCTCTTTCACTCTGTTACCCACAGAATGAATGTAGGATGGATGGGTATTTTTAAGAGTAAGTGCAAACTTACCAGCATGGCAAACAGGTCCTTCATTACCTAAAGACTTTATTTGTTCAGCCTTATCAGCTTCATACTCCTAAACTTCATTCTTAGCTTGAGGAACTTCTCCCAATTTGTGTAGTATGCTATTACTCTGTGTGTGTGTTTACCATCAAATTGGATCTGACTGGTACAGGAAGAGATTGTCCCTCTTTCTCCAGCAGAGCATCTGGTGGATTAAAATCATGCACCTCTGGAATTGCAGTGCAGCTTCTTGTCACAGGCCACCAGAGCTTCCTTACTTTCTTTTTTTTTTAAATAAAATTTTTATTTTATACTGATTTGCTGAGGTATTTGACTGTGTAGAACACAACAAACCGCCTGACTCTGAGAATGGGAATTCCAGAACACTTAATTGTGTTTATGCGAAACCTATACTTGGACCAGGAAGCAGTCATCAGAACAAAGCAAGTAAACACTGCATGGTTCAAAATTGGGAAGGATGTGCTCCAAGGATGTGTCCTATCTCCATACCTTTTCATCCTGTATTCAGAACAGATTATCCGGGAGGCTGAGCTCTATGAGGAGAAAAGTGGCAACAGGATTCAAAGAAGACAGATAAACAGGCTGCGTTATGCAGATGACACACCCTGCTTGCTGAAACTGAGGAGGACTTGAAGCACTTGCTGCAAAAGGTCAAGGACTGCCTCCTTCAATATGAATTGAAGCTCAACATCAAGAAAACAAAGATTCTCTTTACGGCACTGATTGGCAGCATCATAAATAGATGGTGAAGAGATTGAGATTGTAAGCAGCTTCAGGTTGCTTGGCTCTACAATCAACACTCTTGGTACCAGCAGCCAGGAAATTAAAAGATAAATTGCATTGGGAAAGTCTACTGTCAGAGACCTCTCCAAAGTACTGGAGAGCAACGATGTCAGTCTGGAGATTAAAGTGCGCCTGATACAGGCCGTGGTTTTCGCAATTACTTACTATGCATCAGAAATCTGGAATTGATATCTTTGCGCTTTGATGTTGGAGAAGAGTATTGAATATACCATGGACTGCTAGGAGAACAAACAAGTTCTTTGCGCTTTGATGTTGGAGAAGAGTATTGAATATACCATGGACTGCTAGGAGAACAAACAAGTTCGTCCTGGAGAGGGTGAATCCAGGCTGCTCCTTGGAGGCAAGAATTCTGAAGCTTCGTCTGACATACTTTGGACTTGTTGCAAAATGGGGAGGTTGGAGAGACAGTGCAGGAGAAGAAGACCCTCGATGAGGTGGATTGATTCAGTGACTGGGGTAATGAGGATAGGTGTGTCAGAGACATTAAGATTGGCACGGGAAAGTGCAGTGTTTAGGGCTGTTGTACATGGGATTGCTATGAGTTGCAGGCGACTCAACAGCACATAACAACTGGTTTGCTTACAAAGTTCATATACATTGTTTTCGACATTACATCTTTCCCATTTCCTTTGTTCATCCCTCCCTCTACCTATCAGATTTTGCGACGCTGTGATTATCCCCTTACCCATCTTTACCCTTCAGCTTATCCCTTCCTCCCATTGAATCCTCTTATATGTTTTACTAGTTACCTTTCTGTTTCTACAATAAATGGTCTTATACTGTATTCCTCCTTATTTGACTGAGTTAGTTCACTTAGCATAATGCTCTCCAGTCCCTGACAGGTTCTGTAATAATTTTTAAAATCATTGTTCTTGTGTTCTGTGTAGTTTTCCACCATGTGAATATACCATAATTTCCCAATCCATTTGATTATAGTTGGACATTTGGGCTGTTTCCATGTTCTTGTGATGGTGAATAATGCTTCTGTGAACATTGGTGTACAGATCTCCCATTTGTGTCTCAGTTCTAATTTTCTCAGGGTATATGCCAAGCAGTGGAATAGCTGGATCATATGGAATTTTCTGTATTCATCTTTTTTTTTATTATTATTAAAATAAATGTATTTGACAGAGACCAATATGCCCCTGTCTCCATATTTCTTTTTTCTTTTCTTCTCCCTGCCTCTTTTTAAACAGTCCCTCCGTAAGGACTATCTACTTAGCTTTGTATCCAAAGACAAAATCTGTAGGTGAAAGGAGTTAGCCTTCGTTACAGACTGGTTCATTTCAGGGTCGAAAATATGGAACGCTTCACGAATTTGCGTGTCATCCTTGCGCAGGGGCCATGCTAATCTTCTCTGTATCGTTCCAGTTTTAGTATATGTGCTGCCGAAGCGAGCACTGTATTCATCTTTTTGAGGAAACTCTAAGTTGCCTTGTACCATTTTACCATCTCCACATTGTTTCCCACATTTGTTACTTGCTGTCCTGTTAAACTTTGCCACTGCTGCTGGGGTGAGATGGTAGCTCATTGTGGTTTAGATTTGCATCTCTCTTATTGGCAGTGATTTTAAGCATTTCTTCATGTGGCTGTTGGCCATCCACATACCTTCCTCTCTCAAAGATCTTCCCATATCTTTTGCCTGCTATATAATTGGATTATTAGTCTTTTCTTGTGGAGGCCCTGTAAGATTCTGTAAACTTTGATATGAAGTGGTATTGCCAAACCTTGTCTGAAATGGTATTGCCAAATGTTTTTTTCCCAGTTAGTAGGAATTTTATTTCACTCTTTTGGAAAATGTTTTTGATGCACACAGGGATTGAATCTTTAGAAGGTCCCATTCATCAATTTTATGCTCTCCTGGTTGTGTATTTCTGGCTTTATTTGTCAGCCTTTTGATATCATGAACTAGGCCTTCTATGCTTGGTTCTACTTTGTCTCTTACAATCTTTATAGTTTCAGGCTTTAGCCCTAGGACTCTGATCCACCTGGAGTTAATTTTATGTAGGGTGAGAGGTGTGCACCCTGCTTCAGCTTTCTGCAGGCAGCAGTCCAGCACCATGTGTTGAAGAGGTTGCCATTTGATAGTTTTGTTTGTGCTATTACTTTCTCATATGTTGTCTCTCTTTTCCCTGTCTCAGTCATCGCCACCTCTGCTACTTTTTTATGTTGTTTTACATGACATTTCTTATTAGACACACTCAAGGACTCTTGGATACCTTTATCTTCTCAAACCAGCCTGTTGAACAATTTTGTAATTACGTTTTTAACTGCCATTTCCCATGTTCATCTCTGAACTTCGTGAGACCTAGAGCATGCGTCCTAACTCACTTTTGTATCCACAGGGCCTGTAAAAAGCATTAACAGAAAAATAATCCTTTTCACATACATATTGAAGAAATATAATTTTTAGATGTTTAGATGAATTCAGAGACTGTGTTTATGTAAAGCTAGAAGGTGGATGTACTATGTAGATTTTTTAGTATTTAACCAAATGTTTTTTTAGTTGTAAGAACTGTCATTTCCTCTCGTAGAACTATATGGTAGGGCAATTCTTGTATATAACACTTTAGCTTTTTTTAAACATCGGAAATGTTTTTATTTTAATTTTTTTCCATTTTTGCCCATTTTCTTCACCCACCCATCCACTAGCCCTCCCTGCATTGCATCCATCCCTTGTTCTATATTGTTCTCATATAGATAATGCCTAATCATATATTTCTTTCGAGCAGTTCTTCCCCGCATCTGTTCTAATGCAGTGTTAATTATCTGTCCACTCTTTTCCCATTCTCTCCCCAGCCACCCCAGGGTCTGTTCTATTTTATAATAGTGGTGCTATGCAGTATTTGTCCTTTTTATGACTGAGATATTTCACTCAGTATAAAGATCTTCAGGCTTCCCCACGTACTGTAATGTTCTATGAGTTCATTGTTTTCAGTGTTGTTTAACATTCCATTGTGTGACTGTACCATAGTGGGAAGACTTTAGCATTCTTAAGGTAAATGAGAGAGATGGGTTTTTTAAAAACAAGTGACATGCATTTATTTATTTGACATTTACTGCTTGACCTTGGCACAGTTTTAGTGTTTCAAACTTAAAAATATTACTGCAGAGCTGCTGATCAGAAGGTTTTTGTGGCTATAAATTACACAAGAGGAGATTGCTCTTCTTTCTTTCACAGAGCCACAGCAGTTTCAAACCACTAGAGATATGAAACCTTTGTGTAGCACAACTCCCTCAGGACTTAGCTACCAGAGCTCCCTTACTTTAGAGTTTGTTGTTGTTTTAAGTACTTTTGAGTCAGAACCAACTCAAAGCTGATCCTCCAGCCCATTTTCAGAGGGAGTAAATCACACAGAAGGAAATTGCTTATCTTTTCCCTGTGGAACAGCTGGTGGATTTGAACCATGTGCCTTTGTGTTGGCAGCGCAGTTCCTTACCACTCAGCCACCAGAGCTCCCTATTTTGGTGTTTAGGGGTTACTCGGGGGGGGGGGTGGGGGGGGTGGGGAAGACCTTATTCTTATGAAACTTTTGTTCTATAATTCTGAAAATCATAATTCATTGGGCATACTCATTACTGTTTATTTTAACTCAGCAACCCTGGAAGGCAAAGTAAGTATACAGATATCTGTTTTTATTTATTCATTACTGTTTTGATTTCTTTTGGATATATACCTGGGATTCGAATTGCTAGGTCTTGTGACAGTTGTATGTATCTTTTTGAGAAACTGTTCAGCTATTTACTACAGTGATGGTACCATTTTGTATTCCCTCCATCTGTGGATAAAAGTTTGTTATGTTGCCTCCTTGCCAACACCTGTATTTAGGATTGCAATGCTTTGTTTGCTTTTATGCTAGTCAGTAGATAAAAGTAAGCTTTTATCCTTGACTTAAGGAGCTTAAGTGTAGCAGTATATATACATCTGTTGATATCTGCCTATCAGATGCAGAAGTCATTGTTAACAAGTAAATATGAAACTGATATTAGTCACTTAGAATTTTTCTTTAAAGTACATTTAAAATCATGTAACTGTACAGCATACATTTCCTGCATTTGACGTTTTGCAGGTGGAAGCCATGGATATGTGGGTGCTAGTAGCAGAATGTCAAGAAGAACACACTTATGCTCGGCTGCTACGAATAGTTTATTAGACATTGATCCCTTAATTTTAATACATTTGTTGGACCTGAAGGACCGGAGTGGTATGGAGAATTTGTGGGGTTTACAACCTCGCCCACCTGCTTCACTTTTGCAGCCTGCAGGTAAAAGAATAATAATAATAATTTTCCTTTTTTTCTATGATTCTCTAAAAACTGTGCTTGAATGTTAAACTAAATATTGCATATAAGTATTGGAAAATGGTATAATTTTGTAGCAAATTGATTTTTCATATTCTGCAAACTTGTATTTAGTGAACATGGCATTTATATGAAATCAATGAAATGTATTTGCTTGTTTTCAGTTGTTGTTGTTGTTGTTGTTGTGTGCCGTCGAGTCACTTGGCGATTCATAGCGACCCTTATGTACAACAGCGCTAAACCCTGCTCTGTCCTGTGCCATTCGCACTGTCTCTGACACTCCCATCCCGATTATTCCAGTCACTGAATCATTCCACCTCATAGAGGGCCTTCCCCTCCTGCGCTGTCCCTCTACCCTCCCAAGCATGATGTCCTTCTCGAAGGACCGGTCTCTCCTTACAACATGTCCACAGTTTGTTAGACGAAGCCTCAGAATCCTTGCCTCCAAGGAGCCACCAGGTTTAACCCTTTCCAGGATTAATCTGTTTGTTTTCCTAGCAGTCCATGGTACACTCAGTACTCTTCTCCAGCACCACAGCTCAAAGGCATCAATTCTCCTTCCATCCTCCTTGGTCGTTGTCCATCTCTGATGCATAACAAGTAATTGCAAAGACCATGGCCTGTATCAGACACACCTTAGTCTCCAGAGAGACACCATTGCTCTTCAGTACTTTGGAGAGGTCCCTAACAGCAGACTTTCCCATAACAATGCGCCTTTTAATTTCCTGGCTGTTGGTGCCAAGAGTTGACTGTGGAGCCAAGCAAACTAAAGCTGTGAACAATCCCAATCTCTTCACCATCCATCCTGATGCTGCCAGTTGGTCCAGTGGTGAGAATCTTTGTCTTCTTGACATTGAGCCTCAATCCATATTGTAGGCTGCAGTCCTTGACACTCTGCAGCAGGCGCTTCAGGTCCTCCTCAGTTTCAGCAAGCAGGGTTGTGTCATCCGCATAACGCAGATTGTTGATAAATCGTCCACCAATCTTGACCCCACATTTCTCCTCATAGAGCCCAGCCTCCCGGATAATATGTTCTGCATATAGGTTGAAAAGGTATGGAGATAGGACACATCCCTGGCGTACGCCCTTCCCAATTTTGAACCATGCAGTGTTCCCTTGCTGTGTTCTGATGACTGCCTCTTGGTCCAAGTATAGGTTTCTCATTAGCATGATCAAGTGTTCAGGGATTCCCATTCTTCTCAGAGTCAGGCCACAGTTTTCAGTTGAGTGAAGGTTTACAGATCATACTGGTTTTTTCCATACACTCATTCAGAAACATTTTAAAACGTTAATTGCCATTGATTAGTGTCCTTAGCTGATTGTTTAATTAATTACAGTTCATTTTTGTTATCATTATCTTTCCTGCACAACAAAGTAAAAATGTCTCAGAGAAAGTTTTTATGTGATTTTCCAGTTAGCTCAGTCCTTGTTGTTAGATTGATTCACATGAAGTGAATTTGTTCTCCTTGTGAGTGGCCTTAGGTCTCATAATATCCCAACTTCTTAGTGAAATGATGTCTCAACTGAATGTAGAAAAAGTTGATTTTCCTATGCTTTAATGTTTAGTAGCCTAAAAATGTATACCAGTTGTCAGCTGTGTTTTATGTACAGAGAAATTATATTTGTGTGACTTATATGAGATAGTTTGTATTGTTGAACTTGAGCTTTTTTAAATTCTTAGTCATTTTGGATAGTGTAGGATTTACTTATAAAATCTACATTTTGTAGTTCCCTTTTGTTGGAAAACTTTCTAAATATACAAAGCATTTGCCTAGTTTCTTATTCAATAGTATTATATGCATCCAGTCAGTGACTTAGATCAGTGGGTTTGTAGCTTCTTTACTGCACCAGAACTCAATTTTCAAAGTCTAAGCCAATGTAAAAAGTGAAATAGAGCAATTTTAGTGGAAAAGGACTCAGAGCCTAGGTTTCTCTCTCTCTCTCTCTCTCTCTCTCTTTTTTTTCTTCCTGAAGGGTCTAGGCTGGCCTGGCCACTTGTCCTGTCTTGTTGCTGGCATTCTAGTGAGGCTGGGAGTGACTTACCACTAGCATAACATAGAGCCTCTGGGAACGTCCTCTGAGACATGGACTAAGAGAAGGCCTAGGCCTGGGCCTAAAGGGCCTAGAAAGCTCTGATGGCTTCCTGCTTGCTCTCAGCATCCGAAAGTGCATTGAATCTGGAATTGGAAAATCAGATTTCTTACGCTTTTGATAGTGAGAAACTAAAAATGTCTTCACAAAGGGTATGTGTGTGTTGAACAAAATGGAAGTTATAGAAAATTTTGAAGTTATTGGACTCTAGGACATTGTGTGAAAAAAGGAACTATAGTTATGACAGGGTCCTAAAATGTGGTATCCCCAGAAGAGTCAAGGCCATGAAAATTAACCTTAATGTCCCTGGTGGCGGAGGAGGCTCTGGTGGCCTAGCAGGTAAAGAGTTTTGCTGCCAGTACAAAGCCAGGCAGTTCAAACCCACCAACTGCTACATGTGTAAAAGGACAGGCAGTCCCCTTCTGTTCTATTTACAACCTCTGAAAACCTGCAGTGGGTCAGCTGTGAGTTGGTTCCAACTCCCTGGCACTAAGTGAGTGTGCGCTTCCAGAAGTAATACTGTACAAAAGGTTGAGATTTCCAAATTTGAAACTCTTTGTAACATAAAATAGTTACCTCTTAAGAACGATCCAGATACAGTTTGTAAATAAATATGTGCACTTTTGTAGCATTTATCACAATATAGATTTATAATTTTACCTTTTTTCTGAGGCATTTAAAATGTAGAAATCTTAAGAGAATACAGAAAATTGTAAAACAAGAAGATAAAAATGACACAGTTCTAGTGAAGAACAAAGAAATAACTTTCCATATTAACTGATTATAACTGATGTTGTTGGCAAACCCAGCCACTGATGTCAAGTCCGTTCTGATTCCTGGTGACCCTGAAGGACAGAGGAGAACTACCCTGTCAGGTTTCTGAGACTGTGTCTTCACAGGAGCACACTGCCGCAGCTTTCTCCAGCAGAGCGGCCGGTGGCTGTTAACTGCTACCTTTGGTTAGCAGCTTAACAGATAACTTGCTGTGCCACCGTGCTCCTTTTGTTTGTGCAAAGGCCTGGTGAAGCAAACAAATTCTGGTTCAGAAGGTAAACCATGTCCACTGGTTTAACCGCTAACCCTGACCCTTTTGAAGAACAATTTTATAGTAAGTTAAAAAGTTCTTACCCTTTTCACGAGTAACCTTGTGATTAAGTGCTCAGCAGCTAACTGAAAGGTTGAGAGTTCAAGCCTACTGACTGTTCCATAAGAACACCTCTAAATGACACCTGTGGAAGTCCAGATCTGCTGCGTCCTGTAGGGTCTTTATGAGTCAGGATTGTTGACACCATAACAGATTTGATTGAGTTTGTTTTTAATTCTTTAATTTTGTCTGTTCTTACAACAATAATTTTGTTTTCACTCAGAGATGTTTAAAAATAGTTAACAATAAAGTTATATCTTAAGTAAATTATGGGTTTAGTAATACAATGGTACATTTAATAGAAGAGTAAAATCACTTTTTGGAAGATATGTAATGTCATTGTGTAGAAGAAGACAGACAGTATAGAGAATAAGACTTGTGCTGTTAAATGCCATCGAGCTGACTAGGACTCTTGGTGATGCAGTGAGAGAGTCAGAACCTTACCTTACCCGGGACCATCCTCAAGCCCGTTGTTGTCACTGTCACTCCATCTCCTTGAGGCTCTTCTCTTTTTGCTGGCCCTCTACTTTAGTTTTCCATGAAATGAATAGTGTTAATTATTTGACCTCAGGTTCAAATCTAGATGACTGAGGTGCAGATGAAGATACAAGGAGATGGAGAAAATCAGAGAAAGGAAGAGCAAATCTTAAATGTCCTGTGTATTTTCTAGACCAGTATATGAAAGTAGCGATGCCTAATACACATCTCTGAAGAGTAAGCCAAAAATTAAGGAGTGGAATCCAGACACTTATTTTTCTAGAAGTGACACTTAAAACTAAGGGAGTCAGATTACAAAAGACCCTTTCGAAAGAGTGAAGGAGGGAGAGTTAAGAATATAGCTTAATCGTGGTGAATAGCTTTTTCCTGCCTGTCGGATAAACGAACTAGTTAGAGATCCTCCAGAAATGAGGAAAACCAGGAGAACAGTCATGGAAGCCACGTGAGAATCACCTTCCTGTGAGTAGTTGTTAGCAAAATCTGCTGTTGTGCAGAGTCCACTTTCTTTCGGTTAATATGCCTACTTGAAATTTTCATATTTATTTTGGTTCTTAATGTGCTCTTCTCTTAAACATTTTTAGTGAACACCTACTTTTTAGACTGTTCTCAGGAGGTTAAAAAACAATGAAATAGAAATATATACTTACATTGGAAGACATTTATTTCAAGAAAACGGTCCATAGTTGTGGAGGCTAGCTTCTCATGACTTTGAGGAGCAGATGAACTCCAAAGAGGCGCCTGGAGGTATAAGAACTGGTGAATCCCAAAAATCTTCAGGTTAGATGACAAGCTTTTGGCTCACATTCCAAGAACCAAAGATCAGAGAAAGACAAGCTGGAACTTTGAATATCTGTGTCTATTGGATGCAGGTCACACTTAAAAAAAAAAAGAAGAAGAAAAAATACCCCTTTTAGCTCACCAAGTTGATACAGAACTGTTACTGTGTGTTGCAAGTCTGTATTTTTAATCACTGTCTTGTGATTTTCATGGTCTAGTGGGTAAGAAGTTGTGATGCCAGCCCAAGAGCATGCAATTCAAGTTGACCAGCTGCTCAGCAGGAGAAGGACCAGTACTATCTCCTCCCATGTGACTTAGAGCCTCTGAATATTCACTGGAGTTGTGAGTCAGATCTGATCTGACAGTATAAAACAAAAAACAGCATCCTATAAAAGGAGTTACAGTAGCATTGTGCATAATACATTGAGTTGCTAGTTGAAAATTGACATTTTGAATATACCAGTTGATCCTTGGGAGAAATCTTGTAAAGATTTACAACCTAGAAAACTAAAGATAACTATGAGCTGCAATCAACCTGATGGCAGTGGACTTTTTTTGAGCTTGTAAAAGGTGCTAGGAAATGAATGGCAGGTAATCTAGCCGAACCAGAAGAAATAAGGAAGCTCTGGGGGCTTCATGGTAAGGAATTGTGCTGCCATCACAAAGATGTGGTCGAATCCACCAGTTGCTCCACAGGAATGGGCGGCCTCATCCCATTAAGGTTTTCCACCTCCGTCACCTGAAGGATGATTGCTGTAAGTTGAAATTGACTTGATGGCAGTGGGAGTGGGAGGTTGTTTATTTAGTGCTGTGATGGCTTTAAGTATTGGGCTGTTAACTGAAAGGTCAACAGCTTGAACCTACCAGCTGTTCTGCAGGAGAAGGAAGAGCCGTCTTCTCTCAAGATGTAAAGCTAATGGAGGGTAGCCATGAGTCGGCACTGACCCCATGGCAATGAGTTTGTTGTTGGTTTTTTAATGAGTAAATAGAACTGGAAGCCAAGTTAGAATGATTTTGTGGACAGCTTTGCACACTAGCTTGAGAAATCTGTTTGTATTACACAATGGAGTGCCATTGTTTCATTAGAGGAAGAGTCTGATTCAAACTGTGTTTCAGAAAGCTTGGAAAAACACCAGATGGAAGCTCATCCAGGAGATTATTACAGGAGTCTGCTTCCCCCACCACACTAGAATCTTACCTCCATCTTTAGGTTGTTCTTTCATTTCCAATGTAACTTATCTTTTACTGATTTCTTGTTAATAGAGCAAATGTATGTCTTTTTCCTGCATTTGCCTTACCTCTACTTTCTAAGCTTGAAATGAACTTGAAACTCTGTGCTCCAGTGTTTAGCCAGCTAATACAGATAGGCCTGTAAGGTGATTTAATAACACCTTAGAACAGTCAAATACATAAGATCAAAAGAGCAGAATTTCCCCAGAAGTAAAGCTCAGCAGTAGGATAGACGGACTGGTGGAAATGAGACTCTTTAAGGGAAGGGATAGGAAGGTGGACATTGTAATTAATGTCATAAAATTAAATGTATATGAATGATTAATTAGAGAATATTTCCTCTGTAGACTTTCACTCAAATCACAATTTTGTTTCTGGGTTTTTTGTTTTTAAAAAGAACAACTATTTTCTCTGGGAAAGGAGAAAAAAACCTCAGTGCTTGAAAAAGTCAATGACAATGAATGTTTCTTTTATATCATGTCAAAATTGGGCAACAGTTTAGTAGATGACCTTTTTTAATTTTGTCAGAGTCATTGCTGTTAAGTCTGAACCAACGCATTCCTGATCTACCAGGTTTTCAGGAGCTATAAGTCACACAGGAGATTGCTCACCATTCTCCTGCAGACAGGCTGTTGGAGGCACCACCTTTTTATTATTATTATTATTATTATTAAATTTTATTAGTGTCAGTGAACATTCACAGGGATTCTGGGCTTTCACTCCTTCATTGCCGCACCATTCTCTCCACCCTCCTCCCCAGTTTGTTCTTCTTACTCGCCATCCGAATGTGGAGGCACCACCTTTACAGCTTCCTGTGGACTGCACTACTGGAGCTTTGAATTTGTGCAGAGAGCTCTGGTGGGCTAGTGGCAAGAAGCGGCGCTACAGTCTCAAAGGCAGGTGGTTCGAGTCCACCTTCTGTTCCACAGGGGAAGAAAGGGTAGTCTCCTCCGTGTGATTAACTGTCACTGAAAACCCTCTGTTGGGTCAGTTACAGATCAGTTCTGACTCGATGGTATATAACAACATATACATAATGCACATTGCCATACATATTTATCTATATATATGTCTATTATATAAAATAATATAATATAATAGATTTAACCAAATGTTTAACTTCTACCTTTCCCCCCATTTTCTTTAATTATGAAAGTAATAAAATACCAATGTAAAAAGTTGGAGAATGTCAAGCTGTATAAAAAAGAAAACATAAGGCAGTAGGGTAGCTTTTAGTCTTTTAAAGTGGTAGATGTATGTAATTCAGAAGGAGTGGATAAGGTTAGGATGCTTGCTTTTCTTTATTTTTTGTTAGTGGCAATTAATGCATGCTTTTACTGGTAAATACTACCCCAGGCCCTTAGCTTATTTATACATCACATTTGCATAAATACAGAGAGTATAGAATGATTACGTGAATGTCAGACTCAATCAGCATGATTTGTCTCTTTCTCTTTGAAGCATCATATTCTCGAAAAGATAAAGATCAAAGAAAGCAGCAGGCGATGTGGCGAGTGCCCTCTGACTTAAAGATGCTCAAGAGACTGAAAACGCAAATGGCCGAAGTTCGATGTATGAAAACAGAAGTAAAGAATACCCTTTCGGAATTAAAAAGCTGCAACGCTGGTTCTGGAGACATGCAGACAAACCTTTTTTCTGCCGACCAGGCAGCTCTAGCTGCATGTGAAACAGAGAGTTCCAGCAGATTGCAGGATTTGGGAATGGAGCTCCTGGCAAAGTCCTCAGTTGCCAGTTGTTACATACGGAACTGTAAGTGAGAAAGTTCCTATTAGAGTCATTTCTCTGCATGCCATGTGGAAAGCTAACTCACTGATTATTTTCAGAATAAATATCTCTTTCCCAGTGAATCAGGACTACACACGCGTGCGGACTTTTTGCTACCATAAAACTAAATTCTGTTTCTGTCTATTGTGCACTAGAAGAGTTCACATTTCTTGATTGTGTCTCTTGTGCTGGGCAACAAGCAAGACAAACAGAACTTAATGTTATAGGGCTTATATTCTAGCAGTGAGAGGTAAACATTAAAACATGTACAAGTGAAGAGAATTTCAGTGGTTAGGATTAGGAGTTTGACTTTTATTCTGATTTTAGGATGAAGTCCTTGGAGGGAGGATAAAAATCATTGATGTAAGAGAGCTCTGGTGGCCTAGTGGCAAGAAGCTGCACTGCAGTCCCAGAGGTATGCAGTTCAAATCCACCAGATGCTCTGCTGGAGAGCATCTCCTCCTGTACCAGTCAGATCTGCTTTGATGGTACACACACACACACACACACACACACACACAAATAATAAAATAAAAAAAAAAAATTATTGATGTAAGGGAGCTCTGGTAGGCTAGTGGTGAGAAGCTGTGCTGCAATCCCAAAGGCACATGGTTCGAATCCACCAGATACTTTGCTGGAGAAAGGGGTAACCTCCTCCTGTGCCAGTCGGATCTGATTCACTGGTACACAACAAGAAAAAAAAAAAAGGAAAAAACAACAACAAATAAACAAAAAGCATTGAAAGTATGTTTATGATCTCATTTACCCTTCAGAAAGAAAGAATACTTTCATTGTTCTGTGTAAATGAGTAGGAAATGGGAGTTAAGAGACTGGTAAGGATCCTGTTTGCAAAGCTTTCGTGAAATATGGTCATTTATTCTTTGAGTTAAAACATTCCATTGATAATCAGTGCTCACTTATTCAGTCATCTTGACAGAGGTTCCTCTCTCCATCAGGAGACAGAGAAGAAATCACTGTGTGACTATTTCCTTAATCCTCCCAAAGATGGTACATAGCTGGTCCTATTCTATTGCACATGCACTAGCAAAGTCAGTCTGTTACATCCAAGGGGTATTTTAGGATGATTACAAAGAGCTCAGTTCTCTCCCACAATCCTCATTGAGAAAGGATGGATAGAGTTTGCTGACAAGAGAAAAACTAAGAAAAAAATAGTTAGCTGCTGTCTGTCATCATGGCTGACAGATATAGAAATTTGTTTCCATGGACAGCAAACTTGCTCTGTCCTGTAAGGTCACTGTGAAGGAGAGTTGACTCTGTGGCAGTGGGTTTGATTTGTTTGTTTGTTTGTTTACCATCTTAACAGCATTTAAGTCTTGTAATCAATAAATTAATGTTTTTCCAATTATTCACGCCTTTTTTTTTTAAATGATGTTGGTAAGTTTCAAGATAGGATCTTGTACATTCAAATGAAACTTAATTCTCAGGTTATTAACTGTTGGTATGCAAAATGACGATTTTTGAGTGTTGATATTGTAACATGTAACAACGTAACTTACTGAATGTGTTTAATGTAAATACATCTTTTTAAAATTTTGTTTTCTTTTATGCATATTCAGAAACTTTTTGCCATCAACTTTGAACCACTTCATAGCTGACACGCCTTTGGGTTTCTGTAGTTGTAAATGGCACTGGAGGAGATTGTCTTTCTCTCATGGAATCACTGGTGGATTTGAACTACCAGAGAGGCATAGCCTTTGGGTTAACAGTACAGGTCCTTAGAGACTGTGCCATCAGAGCTCCCCAGATGATTTCTTTTCTTTTTTCTTCTTTATTTTAAATTTTATTTTATTTCATTATTTTTTGTGTGTACCATCAAATCAGATCTGACTGGTACAGAAGGAGATTGTTCCTCCTTCTCCAGCAGAGCATCTGGTGGATTTGAACCGTACACCTCTGAGATTGCAGTGCAGCTTCTTGCCACTAGGCCACCAGAGCTCGCCGATTTATTTTCTTTTTAGCATAGGTTTGGGCCCAAGCCTTGTGACTGAATTACTGTACTGTTTGTTTGGCTTTTTTTGGGTTATGCTTTTTCATTTATACTTAGTTTAATTGTATTGAGCTTGGTGAACATGTCCGGTATGATTTTTCTTACAGAATATTCTAATTCTTTATATTAAGACTCTTCTGTACGAACAACAAAATAAAAAGCTTAGGCTTAGAGTACAAATAAACCGTTTGACACCACAGAGTATTCTGTTTCTTTTTGGACACAGGAAACGGAAAAATTAAAGCAAACTCTGTATATCTCAGTGTTATTCATCCTATTTTATTATATTCAGAAATACTTTTACATGCCTTTGCAGCCTCAAATAAGAAGAGTAATTCACCCAAGCCAGGTCGGTCCAGCATAGCTGGCAGCCTTTCACTTCGAAGAGCCGTGGACTCTGGGGAAAATAGTCGTTCAAAGGGAGACTGTCAAGGTTTGTCTGAAGGTAAATTTGGGAAGTTTTAGAATAGTCATCATGATGCTAGATGACTGGGTTGTTGTTGTTAAGTGCTATCTAGTAGTAGACAACTCCTAGCAACCCTATGAATGAAAGTCTTGAACACGAACCTTTCATCTTTCTTTTAAGTTCATAGAGTTTCCGGAGGCAAGCTTTTTTGGAAGTGGATGCCACTCCTGCTTCCAACCCTGTTTTATTCCGAGTTCCACAAAATACGAGGCCAAATCCAATCAGCTCATACCCGGTTGTGAGCAGTAGCCGCACCCACATCACAGCCCCAAAGCAGAAAACACACTGGTTTGTTAAGGTACTGGCTTTATACTGTAGCTTCAGATCTCAGAGTTAGCCCTGGTGGCTCAGACTGAGCCCTGGTGGCTTAGTGTGTTAGTAACCAGAAGTTCAGCAGTTTTTAGAATCCATGAGCTCCTCTGAAGGAGAACGATGAGGCAGTTGGTTCTGGTGGCTTTGGAAACTTGATGGATGGTTTCCATGAGTCAAAGCTGACTCAGAAGCAGTGGGTTTAGTCTTTAGATCTAGAAAGGCAACAAAAATTTCAAAGTTCCTTGATCGACAACAGCAGATCCCACAGTAAAAAAAATGTAGACTGGGTTCTAGGCTCTTAAATTTTTTTTTTTTTTAATCGGAGAATATGTGTATTGCTTTTGATGTTTTTCTGCAATTAAAAAAACACCCCATACAGTGAGAACTGCTTTTCTAAGTTTGGAACTTGACAGAGAACTTTTCTCTTTATCCTCCTCCTTTCTGAATCTCCCCTTCCTTTTCTCAAGGTTCCCCAGGAAGCTCACAGTCTGGCAGCAGGCACAGCTCTCCACGGGCCCTGATGCATGGCAGCGTGGGGGACATGCTGCCCAAAGCCGACGAGCGTCAGTGCAAAGCTCTGGATTCTGACGCCGTCGTGGTCGCCGTTTTCAATGGCTTGCCCACTGTTGAGAAGAGGCGGAAAATGGTCATCTTGGGGTAAGTCTCCATCATAATGAACAAAATACATTTCTCCTTTGTTAATTTTGTCTAAATGGACACAATGTTTTAGAAAGTATAACTTTTAGGGTATTAGAGACTTTTTAAAAAATGGAAATGAGTTTGTACCAGTGGTTAGTTTAAATATGTTGTTGCTCATTTTCTCTGAACCTAGGGTAGTGATAGTGAATATCTATGTCAGCTGTGCCCTCTGATGTTTCTCGGGTGGTGGAGGACTTCTGCTCCCCAACTAGTCTACACATTTTAAAGATAGTTATGCTAGATTGTATGATGTCTCGCAGATGTTTACATTTATTTTTAATTGTTCTACTCTTTTATTTCACTTTCCATCTTTTCTCTCCTCTTATAAATGTGTCCTCAAAATACATTGTTGACATTTATTAAAAGTAGTTGATACTGCTGTGTTTCCCCCAGGAGGCATAAATTTCGGTTCCTGCTGTGTCTCTCTATTCAGAAGATACAATTTGTTAGAATGTGTTAGAATGTTCTCTGTAAAACACTAATAGGCACTTGTGATTGAAATCTATTTCTAGATGTAAACAGTAAAGCCATTCCACCCCAGAAGAGAACTGTGAATTAACTTTTTAGAGAATGTTTAACATCTCTTATATCATCCAATTTTATACATTTTAGAAAATCAGGATAATGGTTGTTGATATGTGCCATCAAGTCATTTGCGACTCATAGCAACCCTATGTACAATAGCCCTAAACCCTCCTCTATCCTGTGCCAATCGCGCTGCCTCTGACACACCCATCCCAATTACCCCAGTCACTGAATCAATCCATCTCATAGAGGGTCTCCCCTCTTGCGCTGTACCTCCACTCTCCCAAGCATGATGTCCCTCTCCAAGGACCTGTCCCTCCTTGCAGCATGCCCAAAGTATGTCAGACAAAGCCCCAGAATCCTTGCCTCCAAGGAGTAGATTGGTTTAACCCTCTCCAGGATAAATCTGTTTGTTTTCTTGGC